GAGGAACTCTGAACTGCCGTCCGGTTTGGCTCCCATGGCAAAAATTTTTAAACAATAGAACCCAAACATGTCAAATAACTATAGTTTTTTCAACTAATTTCAATTTCCAGCTAAAATTACACACAAAAACGCCGAGAGACATGAATTTATTGTTGTGTCGTAGATTATAGATTTGTATGCCGTTTTTATAGATCAGTTGATTTTCCCCAAGATATTTTCATTTCAAGTTTGCACTGCGAATTAAAAAAAAATCAAACTTTAACATGGAAACTATTACGCACACGCTATGTACGAGTACGTCCAGTGGCGATAGGGCGTATGAGTAACATTATTTCCTGTTCCTATTCCATCAAAAAAATTATTGCACTTTATCATTTCACCATTCAAAACTGGTTTATTTATCCATAGATTTTCATCGTTGGTAGCTGGACTTTTTGGTCAAAAAACAGGAAGGACATAAAGGAAAAGAGGTTACAAAAAATATTTGTAAATTTTTAAATGTTTTCCTTGTTAAATTTGAATTTTTTTGTTTAATAAAAATGAATATATTTTGTGATAGTGACCTAATCTAGAGCATTTACAGTTTAAATTAAACCTTTTTCAAATTAAATGAAACCTTTTCCAGATTCAATGAAACTATTCAAATTAAATTAAACTTTCTTTTAAGAACGTTTCATTTAATTTGAAAAAAATGTCGCTTTATCTGAAAAAGGTTAAACTGGATAAAAGGTTTAAACTGAAAATGCTATAGAAAAACAGAAAGCAGATTACATAATTTATCTTTTTTCAAATGAACTGGAAGATGAAAGAGAAAATTAAAAAAAAAATATCAACGATTTCAATTCTCATATAAAAATTTAATACATAGTACCGTTATTTCTTTATGAGCCAATGATCGGATCTAAACCAAATTAAATGGGGCAACACCTTTCCGATAGAAATTGGAATTATCGAAATCGGTTGACGTGGTCCAAAGTTATGCAGTAACATACGTAAAAAAAAAATAAAAAAAAAATATTCCGACGAATTGATAACCTTCTCCTTTTTTTGAGTCGGTTAACAAAGTTTTTGAATCAACTTTTTTAAGGATTGGACGAGTCGTAAGTCTAGCCGACAAGACACTCAAAATCTGGGCTTAGGATTGACACTCTCATTTATGATAGGTTCCTAACTTCATAGGCTAACACACGCAGTTGCCGCACAAAAAATTGTTTAGCAGTTCTACCATAAGGGTTAAAAACTTGAAAAATGCTTAGGTGGATTTTCATTTTGAACATAACCGAAACATATTTATTTTGTTCTTCTCTTATAATTTTGTTTATTCGTTTGGTAGGTATGTATGTACGCTTTCGAAATTTTATCCGATAAGGGTTGGGTGGAGCACCCAAATCGGACATTAAAAAAGAAGTTGAACTTTTTTTGTTAGATAGAGTCTTTCCTCCATATGGGGAAACATAAACATTGACCAAAGGATTTCTTAGAATATGTAAAATTAATGCGGGATACTATAAAATAGCACAAACAAGAAAATCCACTAGACGACAAGTTCAACGGATGCAAGATTACGTTTTTGTTTTTACGTGGCTTAAAGTGGTTCTTGAGGCGATTCAACTTAAAATGAACTTTATATCCTCAAATGACGCTTACAAAGAGTTAAACCAGATTGCCTCGATTATTCCCACTTACTCCTTACGTTGCGCTTACATATTTATTATATTTATTTGCTTTAATTACACATGTACATATATGTACGTATTTATTTCATTAACATATGAACATACTAGGAACGTTTTAGATCCCGAAAATCCCGAGATTCTTGGTAGATGATCGCGAGATTTTCGGGATTTGTGCTTTGCACTGGTGGCCATAATAAAAACTCTTTTATTGTCCAGTGATGGCTATATTCCTTTTTTGTTTAATCATTAATATTTTTTTTATAAATATCTAGCTCATTATACATACATATAACACCGTGCGATAAACAATTTTACACACAAAAAATGGGCCAAACATAATTTAAAAAATTCAGTGAAATGTGCTTAGAGAAAACGTATGTATATCAAATTAAAGAGAAAATTCTGTAGAATTTAAACAGATTCAATTTTTTGGTGCAAAAGGGCGGGTGATTATACTTTTAAATTTTATCCTTGAATATCCTTGAAATTTTGGAATATTTATTTATGAAACGATAACATCCTCGAATTTCATCCTCATACATTTACCAGCTTGAAAAATTACCTATTCGTCCTTGTGAATCTAAAAAATTTCAATTTCTTAAATTCTGAAATTTTTTTATCCAAATTGCACTGAATTTTTTAATAAATTTTTGGAATTAATCATATCTTCGAAATTACAAAGTCCTTCAAAATGAATTCTGATGTCACAAAGTGCCGCCTAAATGGTCAAACATCGAAAACTTCGTTGTCCACTAAAAAGAATTAAATAGAAATTTTCCTATAGAATGAATTATATGCCGCCAGGAAGCCACTAAAGTCGGAAAATTGTATACTAAGAATGTTATTAAGAGCATAGCCATGCGTAAGCTCTTCATGTAAACAAATGTCAGAAATACATTCTTTGAAACAAAGTGTTGGTTTGACGTTTTTTATTTCCGTATAGATAGTAGAGAGCTAAAGGATTAAAAATTTTGAAATATAATTAAACACAAATCAAAATTATAAAAGGTAAGTTTTATTGGAATGAATCAGAGATATATGTAAAAATATGTTTGGCTTTTAGCTTTCGAAAGTGGAAATAAAAACCCGCTCATTTTTGGCATTTTTAGAAGTAATGCGTTTTTTGGTAATGCATAAAATCATTTTTAAATTTTTTTGTCAGTGCCCTCAAATCTACACGATTCGTTCTATTTTCAAAAATGAAGTACCAGATTAAAAAGCTTGACTTGTAGACACTAGAGGTAAATTTTTTTATTTAAGAGTTGCCACCTGTTAAAAAATTAGATAAATTTTTTTTAATATGTTAACTGAGTTATCAAGGGATGAATGCATGAAAAGGGTTTATTTCTTAACTACATGTAGAGGATTAAAATAGAAAGGTATCACCATATGGAAGTCAGACCAAAGAGGTTTATGAAGGTTTTAGCTTGCAAATATTACGAAGAGGGTTGCCACCTTTGTGTAAAGTCAAATTTAGTTAAACTAAAATAATAATTGTGTCAATCCAAAGGTTTACGACGTCGTATTTGTTTTTTTTTTTATTACAATCAATCATTACATTGTCAATCAGTGATTTGTTCTGATAACATTCCTTTTAAATTACTGGACTCTTAAATTAACTCAAGTATGTTTTTACTCCTCACTTATTTCTTGCTTAATATGTCCAATTTTTTTATTTTGCCTGATACTCATATTGATATACACATTGCAGTTACATTATTCCTTTAATTAAAGTGAATTTGATTTTTTAAACATGTGGCAACCCTCCTACGCGACACCTCACTTTTGAAAACAGAACAAACTATAGGAGTTGACTAGTAACCAAAACAATCAAAAATGTTTTAGAAAACTTTTACTGGTTTTGCGTTCTCGTACCCAAAAAACTTACAAAGTAGGGGAAATTGAGAGAGCAAATTCAACAGTTGAAAATTGTGATAGAGAGCTGCAAATTTCTGCTGGAAAAATGTTACCTTTTTGAGTTAAAGTAAATTTATTAAGGACAATGTTTGTTGGTTTATTTTTCGTCAATTTACTATTAATTTCCAGTTAGAGTGTTTTAGTGTGTGCTGACTATGGTTACCATATGCCATTCTTCGTTTGTACCATAATTTTCTTATAAATATACAAAAATAAATTAAAGGTGCAGCATGCTGAAATGTTTTTTGCAGAAGTAGTCGGTTTTGGTAGGTTGATTGTTGAAATGAAGAAGTTATAATTTCAAAGCTAATTTGTATTTAAAAAAGGGTTTTCTTATCCAAAACTATTCAATTGCATAAAATGCCTAATCGGAGGAAAATGTATAAACTGTACAAACAAATGTACAGCTGTTTCGAAGGTTGCAAGTTTTTGTAAATTTTGCATTCTCGTACTTCTGTGGATATTTTGTCCCTTTGATCGCTCAATACGAGTACACACTTTATATGTACATACCTACGTAAATGCTACCAGAACGCAAATTTTCCACTTCAAATTGCATTTACAGTGAAAGTATGAAAGTTATCCAAAAATAAATTGCATTTTTGAATTTTGCGTCCTCAATTTACTAAGAAGCAAATTTTCGTTTAAATTCGTCCATAATTCTATTTTGGACCACATTTTATATGGAAGGGAAGCACTGTGCGTCAGAGAGAAAAACTAAAAACGGAGCTTTACTAGATTTCGGGCCATGGATTCGCGATTATATTAATTTCTGTGTGCAAAATTGACAATTGCACTGTGTTATATGTACATAGAGGTAGACATTTATAAAAAAAAATTGTAACATTAAATAAACAAAAGAAATATAGACAAAAGTGGTCGAAATAAGGCGTTTCTTTTATTTCTACCACTAGTATACATATATATATGAAATTCTTTCAACCACAAAATATATTTCTTGATTTAAATTTTTTCGCCTCGAGCTTTGTTCGACGCACCTTAAGTTACTTTATCAGATTGATATACGCTAAAGTATTATTCAATACGTATTGTACAATGTATACATACACTTAATTACTGCCTTTTGTTTTTTATACTTATAAAATAATTTTCACTTTAAATAAAAAAGTAAGTTTCAAACCCATTTATTTATTATTTATTTTATTGGAGGGAGAGCTTCTCAAACAATATTGAAGAATTTTTTTCAATTTAAGTTGTTGCAAAATAATAATAATCTAAATCCCGGGACTAATCCCCGAATTTCGGGATTGTGATAACGAGATCCCGAAAATCGCGGGATCGTCAAAAGCGAAAAAATAACATCCCTATTACATACGTATATGTAAAGATGTATGTACTTCATTCAATATTATTAGTGCATGCTATTAATTTTGCTCTTCTTTCCAGTGGCCGTTGTCATATGCTTCTTCTTGTGTTGGGCACCGTTTCATGCACAACGGCTCATCGCCGTTTACGGCACGGCTGTAATGGGTGGCAGCAGTGAGAGTGGAGCTGGTGGCGCGGGTTCTGCCGACGATAAGAATCATCATGTGGTGATATACACCGTTATGACATATGTCTCTGGTGTACTTTATTACTTGTCGACATGCATCAACCCGCTATTGTACAACCTAATGAGCAACAAGTTTCGGCAGGCTTTCAAGGTGAGTAACTTAATCGGCTCTGTTTACTATGGGTGTATTCTCAGAGTCTTGCCAAGCCTTTGCACGTTACAGGGGGATTGTAGGGTTTGCAAAGCTGTCCCATACGAAAACCGGTTTTTACCGTGCAATATGTGCAATCTGTGCACCATGCAAAGGCTTTGCAAGACTCAGAGAATGCCCCTTTATGTACTATACATATGTACATATGTGTGTATATTCACTTGGCCATTGATTGGTGAACTGTTAACACTTAACTGAACTTAACATCTACATACACATTTGTTTGCTTATAAACACGCATAGATATGTGCATATATATGTATGTACTAATTGTTTTACTTATATCATTTAGTCGATATTGTTTCGAAAGAAATCCACTGGTTCTCTCAATTATCGACGAGCTCAACAATCGCAAAATTTACGTCGAAATCCTACGCTCACTTCGAGTACGCAGCGGGAATCCAGCGATTCGGAGGCACAATTGAAACACTCGGTGTTACAGGTGAGGTTTTTCTTGTACTTTGATATTTAGGTTCGCTTCTGGAACTTACAATTTTCTAATTAGCGTTGTAGTTAAACAAAAAAATTATGTTTCATCTAATTTTAATTTTTGTAGGCTGTATTGGATGAGCGCAAATCAAAAAACCAAGTTTTGCCATAGAACGAGTAGTACAAAGATGGGTCTGGACTAGGAAAGGTAATCCCGGTATTTTTTAACTCCCGTAATTTACACTGGTGGCAATGATAGAAACGCCTTATGTTGACCAGTTTTGGCTATATTTCCTTTGTATATTTAATATGTAATATTTTTTTTTATAAGTGTGTAGCTCAATATACATATAATACCTTTCACCAGGCAATTTTACACACAAAAAAAAAAAACAAATCAATATATTCGCGAAGCCAAGGGCCAATAGACTAAAATTGCGATCTTAATTTTTCTCTCTGACGTCAGGATTTTTATGAGTACTTCAGAAAATGATTTAAAAAATTCAGTGCTATGTTCTTAAAGAACCAGTATGGGTATCAAATTAAAGAGAAGATTCTGTAAAGTTAAAACAGATCACATTTTTTGGTGCCTAAGGGATGAGTGCCGAGGACAAGCCCTTTTATAATTTTATCCTTGAATATCCTTGAAATATAAGATCTTGTAACCTATGCTTAGAACGCCGGTCCTGACTCTGTTGGATCGCCTTTTTTGTGGACTGGGGAAAGCACATTTAAATTACAGTTGGCAGGCATACCATATTCTGAGTATATTTTATGCATGAACATTATTAAATCCACGCCGTCACGTTAAATAGCTCAGAACAAAGGTATTCAGCTCGGGCAATTTCTTTTGTTTTTCAGCCGGGAAATTGATATTCATACCCGGTGGGGTGTTCGGCAATCATTTCTGGTTGTTTAAACGCAGGTTTGTAAATTACTCGATCTGGCCTACAATCAATGATAGCCGAACTTCTCCACAGACAAAGTTCGCTCATTTCTCTTGACTTGCGCATACTAAGTGTAATTATTGTACTTCAATTATACCAGTAATTTGGGTTTTAATTGATTAGTATTTAGACGCAGATGTACAATAAATATGTATATTGGCCCATAGTTATAGTATGAAGTAATTGCAGCTTTTTCAAATAATTTTCAATGGGATATCTGTCAAAAAACTCGACTCTGTTTCAAACTGCCTATTTAAGATGTATCGTATTGGGACTGTCATTCCTGAACAACATGAAAAAATAAAACAAAAGAAATTGTTTGAAGTGAAACTTCTTTACCGGTGGTTGTTTTGGTTGGGAGTAAATTGACAAATTCAATGGAAATTGCACACGGAAATGTGNACTCAAACAATTGCTTCTTGAGTGTATGTACATGGTAATAGTTTAACAAAAACTTTCTAATAAAAGGTTAAAGAATAACACTTAGAAAAAGACAAATACAAGAATGAAAGTAAAGATTTTGTTATCGATTTTGTAATCGATATTTTTAACGATTTTGTTATCGATATTTTTATCGATACTGATATCTATTTTGCTATATATTTTGCTTTCGATATTTTTTATAGAATTTATTATCTATAGTTTTGTCGATTTTGTTATCGATATTGTTATCGATTTTATTATTGACTTTTTATATCGATTTTATTATCGATATTTTTACAGATTTTGTTATCGATATTTTAATCGATTTTTTATTCGGGTTTTTATCGATATTTTTGTCGAATTTGTTATTGATATTTTAATGGATTTTTGTTTGTTATCGATAGAGTATAAAGATAAAAATGAAGATAAAGGAAAAAAGATAGATAAAAGTCTTAAATAGTCCCTACTTGGCATGCAACTCAACTACATATTAAAGACCTACGTTGTTTATCGGTGCAGTTTTCATAGCACAATTCCAAGAAGTTGTAATCAAACTAACAACGGGTTTAGGATCACCTAAATAGTACATACTGCAATACACGTGCTTACTAGCCTACTGGAATTTTCAGTTCACCGGCATTG